AAGAAGGAGAGAGACTTCAAGCAAAGGAAAACAGAAAGGTAAAAATATCAAATAGGAAATGTCAATCTGTAAAATCTAAAGGATTCTCCACTCTCCAAAATGTTTATACATCAGAATGAGGCATCGATAAATTCAAAGCGAAAAGGAAACTGTTATGGTTAAGAACATAAACATGTAGGCAACACAGGAAAAACATGTAGGTTATCTTAGTATTCTAATTTCATGAAGAGAATCAATACATGTTTATCTTGCAGTGTTTTCAAAGAATCGGATCAAACACAGTTCAAAGAAAGAGGCCTATCCTGCTTTATCAGATTTCTTTTGAGACCAAAACAAATTTGGTGATAAGAAATAATTTCAAATATTCAAACATCTGTGACCTGAAGAAATATTAATCAAACAAAAGAGTTAGGTAGGCTACTTCCAACAAACCGACAGCAAAAGATGACAAATGTATTCTATAATACGAAAATGAAATGAAAACAAAAGTATGTGTTGTTCACAAGACATGAACGCATCAGGCTTAGGCCAAGCCTCAGTTGCTCGCGTCATTAGGCACAAATGATAACAGATAATGCTACAGGTCATAGCATACAATAGAAAGTTGTCAGCAGTGCTGCTAGATACGATCGTGGCTCATCACTTCAAACAATCTTTGCAATTTGCATCAAAGTCATGTATACAATTAATAATGTGCTTTTCAAAAACAGGTATGTTCAAAAACAGGTAATAATATTCGGGAAACTAAATATCTTTAAGGACAACTACTGTAGGTAAAAGGGTGTGGGGGAAAAGTTAAGACATTCGAGTATGTCTAGGGAAGTTTTTAACTTATGCTACCACTTCAATCTAGTCATTAAAACGTTTGAACCAGACTGGATGAAGGAGTAATAAAATGAGGTGTAATATTCAAATCTGCAAATACATGAGTAACAAAGGAATAACGTGTTGGTAAATCAAAATGACTGATTGGTAGAGAGGACAAACACTAGGGCAAGCATCAGCCTTTACAGGCATCAACTTATTACCAAAGTCAAAATAAATTAAAACAAAAAACCAAACATTTCATACAAAAACAGAACAAGCAATATAGCCATGTGCAAAAAATGAAAAATACAAAATTAATAGTTCGACTCAATAAATAATAAAGTAATAACAAACACCTCCAAATGAAGAAAATGATTAACACGTTTTATCAAGCTTTACATAACACAGAGTTCAAGCAATGGTTAGGTTACTGACTTTTTCAGACTGGACATCTATGATGGAAATTGTGTGATAGTTTTCTCTTTTTTTCACTTGTTTACGAAGCGCTACCAGCTTGCCATTACAAAAACACGATTTTGCATCTGACACTATTCTGAACAGTTTTTTTTACAAGTACTTTGTACTTTCCTCAACTGCTCAGCTTCCAGAATACTTCTTTAGCTTTGATGACACAGAAGGTGTTTCTTTAGGTCTATGAACTTAGTGTATATATATAAAAACTGTGTCTCATCAGTACCTTGCAAGCTAGGGCACACTCATTCTGTGTGGTAAAACAAACAAATAAATAAGAGTGGTTAGAAAATTATAAAAAGAAAAAAAATATTTTGTAATGATCTAGAATGGGCTGAAGAAAACCATGTGCGTTCAAATTGTCCAAAGGAAGGAGCACACTACAAAACACACTACATGGCACGCCTCATGACACGCCTCCTGACACACAACGAGACACATAACAGTACAAGACACGACTTTAAACAAGACACACTAAAGCATAGTCCAAACTCATACAATAACCAAAAGGCAAAAAAGCAAGGGCAACATAATGAGCATACTCTCTTGTTGTTTCTTTAAATTTCCAAAATGTTTCTGTCGGATTTTTCAGGTAAAAAAATATACAGATGAAATACAAAGTTCTGAACGTCTTCACTTTCAAAAGTTATGGACAGTTCTTGTAATGATATTCAGTCGACTAAAGAAACTATACAAATGAAGAAACACTCACTGTATAAATAGAGCAAACTGAGAGGATGTGGGAAACAAAAGTACATAATAAATAATATTTGTGGTGGTTATGGTCAAACGGGAGCAATGATTGTAAGGAGTACTAACTGGTAATGGTTATCATGAGCTACATTCAAATATGTCTGGGGAATGAGACGGGCGTGGAATCACCATTAGGGGAAAAAAGTATCAGAACTCTCTGGAACAAAGAGTTCAGTCCACTCACCATTATACTGCTGTAAGCTGACAAAATGCCTTTTTTCATTTTGGCACCAACATTTTTTATTTGCTAAATCGAAAGCCTGATCAATTACCCTACTCATTTGAAAAAATCCAAGTGAATTAGAATTCAAATTTCGGAATAGCTGTAATTTTAAATGGTCACGCTGACAAAAAACCCTCTTTTTTCTTGAAACTGCTGTGAAGATAAAAGAGCACTTTGTTAGCTTATTGCAGTATAATCAAGCAGTTTTGCAGAACAGGGTCATGTGAGGTTCTCATTGCCTCATCAAGACATTATTGTTTTTTGCTTCACAAGAACACAGGAGTCAGGGAAGCAAAGATTACACTATATGTAAGTAAAACACGGCTTTTTGGAACAAATGAAAAACGTACAGATTCTGGTGGAAATTCATTAGAAAAAAAGATAAATAATTTTTTAATATTTTCTTGTAATAATTATGTAATTTGTACAACATCTGTAATCATGTAGTGTGTAACATACACTCTTTGTTTGCCATTTCTAATTTGTGTTTCTATGATTTGGAATAACTAAAGATTTTCGTGTTTCTATCTCTCAAGGGTGAAACTTTCCAAATATATTTTGTCTTTAAAAGGCCATAAAAAACCTGTTATGCCAGAATTACAATTGAAAAGAAGTAATATGAACAGCTTCATGATATCATCATATTGCCATTCCAAGGGATAGCGACGTATCTGACAGCATCAAGCTTTTGTTGTTCTTTTTCTTTTTCTAATTTGTTACCCTGATCTTGCCCATATCCTTATTATGCCAAAGTTTTGAGAGTGGTAAAGTTATGTAAGTAGCTGATCTGAATCCCACTGTTGATGGAGGAGTGGTGCATCTACATTTCAGCGCAGCACATGTTAAGAAACATTCATGACTTTAGATAGGCTAAGGGCAAGGAGATTAAAAGTAATGGAGGATGCTCTGTGGCCGGCACCGCACGCCTGATAGGAGCCCTCTCTCGCGGCGGAACTGTGGTCTACCTGCGCTGAGCGAATGCCCGACTTACGCACTGAAATCTAGATAAGAAAGAAGGTTTTATTCCGAGGTCCTTGAGATTAGGCAAGTCAATTAGTAAAAATGCCTTGCATCTGTGTCGTATTTAAGTGTAAGAACCGATATGATGCTGCAGTGGACCGAAGTTTTCACAGCTAAGTTGTTTTCCTTTTAAAAAATTTGAATGAAAGTGTTTTTATGCTTCATAAGAGGCTGGCTCCGGCTCTACCTGCCAAGGCCAACCCAGGCCGAATGGGATACAATACCCCAGCAGAAAGACAGAGATACTCAATTTTTAAAAAAGTATTCTTATTCTTATATATATATAACATTATGTGTGTATGTATATACATATTATACATTTATATTGCTTTCCATTGTGTGTGCAAATTAGATGCTACTGTTGTCTAAATGTAGATATCTAGAGGCTCCATTAGAATAGGAAATCAATACTCAACAACAATAATGATTAATATTTTCTATGTTAAAGAAACACCAAACCATAACAGATGAGGGGAGAGCGTAGGGTGGGTGGATAAGAGTTTGAGTCTTGTTAGATAGAACTATACTCGGTTTAATTCTATTGTTGTAGTCTTCACCTAAGATCCCACAATCAATAATTCCGGTTCAGTTAAGAATCTGCTGTTAAAAAAAACCCCAAACAAGCAACAACAAACTTTAATACACAAGAGTCATCACTAAGATAAATTATCCCCCCCCCCCCCCCCCCCCCGGAGTGTAATAAGGGACTAAAAACGCTGCTCTCCATATCATACTTTACTGAACAAAAAAAAACAACCTTCAAAGGTCATCCACGCTCATGCATGCGATCACACCTCCAATGGTGCTGTTATCTCTTTTTTTTTTTTATGTTTGAAATCATTGTGCGCTCTGATTTGTAAAAACCAGGAAACAAAATTATTGTAATCGATAATGTTATTATTTATAGACAAAGACATACTGGTAGCAATCAGATAAAGCTGGCATCGACCCTCTGTTGTGTTCGCTATTCTTTACACATAAAGTTAGTTATGTCACACGCCTAGAATCATGCAATCATAATATCTTAAATTCAGTTTTAAAGTAAATTTTTATCCATTTCTAATACTTAAATATTTTAGCATCTTGAAAGATTATCTTTATAATTTGGTATGTTTGATAATTTTATGTTACTTGGACAAGTTTACTTCTTATTTTACACATCTTTTTAAAATTTTTAAACTAGATTATAACATAAAACTCTGAAAGAATTGAACAGTCCGTATCACACACAGAATTTTTTTTTCTCCCTGTCATTATCCATCAGCCCGTCAGTTGATCACAATCTCTCTCTCTCTCTCTCTCTCTCTCTCTCTCTGTCTGTCTGTCTGTCTGTCTGTCTGTCTGTCTGTCTGTCTGTCTGTCTGTCTGTCGGTCTGTCTGTCTGTCTGTCTGTCTGTCTGTCTCACTCTCTCTTTTTCTTTCTCTCTCTCTTTCTCTCTTTTATTTAATTTTTCCCATTCTCCTTCGTCCCTTCCCAAGCCCGCCCCTCCTCTTTCATCCCTGCCCCATCCCCTTTTCCTTGCGTGCATTCCCCCACCCCGCCCACCCCCACAACGCGGCACAGCCCGATAAGATTCAATAAAAAGAAACGCCACAGTTCGAGATTTAGCCCACACTCGGCGGCCATATTTGATCCCCACCGCGGCGTACTGCTCGTGGCACCGCGAAGAGAGAGAGGAGGCTCCATTAGTTCTAAACTCCTTGGCTAAGGGTCAACAGCTTTTTCTTTTTCATCTTTCTCAAATCAAGAAATGTGCAGATAGCCAATGTCATTCTGCCTTTGGGCGGCATTATTCTTTGGACCTTCGTATAACGTTTCACTCTGGCAAAGATTGTCGGGAAGCAAACGTACGATAGTGAACTAATTCAGTATTCTCCTTCCTTTAGAACATTTTTCCTTTTTTATTTTGCAATTTCTTTACCGTGTAAGAAAAACAAAACCTTTCTGCCATGTTTCGAACTCGACTGTTTCCTAGCCAATTTTCCATATTTCTACTCCAATAATAATTCTCTGCTCAGTTCCACCATTTCCCTAGCTAAAAGACACTCATTGACAATAGAGCCAAACTATTGGGGAGACAAAGAGGAGATTCTACAGCTAAGTTCATTTGCAGCAAGTCGATAAACAGTAAATAATGTTCACATAAGAATGCATAGCAATGTATTGCAACATGAATAGAACAGTTCAGTCATATTTATTGTAATGATTTCCTCTAAATGCTGTGCTCTGTTTGCAAGAAGTGAATGAGTGCATTATCACCTAATGTCATTTGAGCAATTCAAATTTTGAAGCTAAAATGTTTTCTCGAAACAAAATGGCGCGGCGAGCCACGTCCAAGCTGACAAAAAAATCACACAAAAATTGCTCTGCTCTTAGAAACTGAAAGAGATCCGGACACAAACTGATTAAATCACAGTTTCACCTGAAAAAATATCCAATGCATAAGCTAACGATTGAGGTAGATGCCTTGAGTTTCACAATGAAAAACTTTCCGCGTTCTGTGAGGAAAGAGAATTCTAAAAATGACAAATGAGGCACCTTTATGACAGTTAAGGTGAAATAAATACAATTTACTAGAAGAGACTTTTCACATCTTTATTTATTTTTTTCTCTAAAGTTTGCTGAAAGGTAGTTGACAGTTCTTTTTAAAAATGAAATTGTGTAAGCAAATACAGATCAATTTTTTTAAAGAACCAAGCAGTGTCAAAATAGTAAATCGGAGAGGGGACACATGATAATATCACATATTTTATGCATATGAAAATGCAGATCATACCAAAAGCATTTTTTCACCATCCAACTTTCCTCCTTTCACAGCGACAGCCCTACACTTCTTTTCAACCTCTCAAAACAGCTGGCATTATCTACATGTGCAGAAAAAAGTAGAAGGATCAATAAAAGTTATCAACGAATAAAAACTCATCTCAAATATAAAAAATGACCCCAAATTATTGCCTCTAGACCCTAGACCCTTCAGAATAAAAATAAAAATAAAAATAAAAGAATTTATAAATAAATCACGTAAATTTTCACCTTTTCATTGTCCAACTGCCTCTGAACAAAAGTAAGACAATTCCAGAAACATTTGGCACTCGTTACATAACGACAGTAGAGCATTTTTGTACCAGTACAACCAGCATCAGTGCTTTGTACAAAATCCCTTCTTTAGCTCCAAGTTCACCTGATATTTCATTCATAGTTTGGATCATACTCTCCAAACCCTACAAAAGATGGCAGAAAAATTGTTCGAACGAGGAAAGTAGTTGTAAAGTAACAGTCTCTTGAAGCTATACACATCAAATACCAACACTTTGTACCTGTACGAGCATTTAAAAAACACTTCTCATCTCGTCAATCGGCGATGTCTACAACCCAGTTTCTTTGGATTTTCCCCCAAATACTTTTACCTTAGGTGGCAAGAGTTTTTACAATGTTATGAGCCTTCAGGCGACAAAGTGTTACGGTATTCACATATTAAGAGTAAGTGAGCAGCTTCCAAATCAACCATTGCTGAGACAGTCAAGCAGATCAAACTTGCAGTCATCTGCGCTGTAACAACAAAAGTAAATGTTGGTAAATCTGTGCACCAGTGACAGACAAACTACTGGGGAGACGGTCCACCCTCAGCCTAGACTGGCTTCCCTTTCTAAATCTCATACACATTTCTCAAAGTTCTAAATAGGTTGGGGGGGGGGGGGGGGCTACTTCGCTGGCATCTATATCACAACTCTGTTCAGTACACACCTCCTCTTTGCCAGCGTGTATATTACCTCACGCATCTCTGATCATAATATCCTTTTTTTTCCCGTAGAGAATATTCCAGCACACGATATTAGCTGGACTTGGAAAAAGAAAAAATTCTCCGCACATCTTTCACTCATCATAATTTTATTATACGTCGTATTTTACCTTAGAAGCTGGGAATATAGCAGTAAGAAGTGAACGCGGAGAGCAAGATGTAGATCAGCCAGAAGCTCACAAGGATAATGGTGGTGGGAATCTTGTACTTGGTGGGCCCGCCCAGCTCCCCGCCTATAGACGGCCGCCGTCGAAGCACCAGCAGAATCATGCTCAGCATGGCCATCACGCAGAAGACGGTCACCGACATGGCCAGCTCGCCCGGAGGGACCCTGAACTCCCGGCCCTGGATGGCGTGGTGGACGGCGGCGATAGTCCAGGCGATGCCGATCCCCAGGAAAACGTTGACCGCGTTGCTGCCCGTGACGTTACCGATGGAGGAGTCGGCGTATCGGTCGTTGATGGCCGCCACTTTGCTGGCGAATGTGTCTGGGAAGCACAAGATGCAGGGCAGAGAATTAGGTAATGTCTTTTTTTTTTCTTGCAGGTGTTTTTACATCCCCATTGACACGATTTAGATCATTTAGAGAGGCAGGTTTCTGATGCAACCTGTCAGAGCCAACCCGGGCTGAGAGGGATATAACATCGTAGAAGAAACGCTGAGTCTTTAGTAAGAGTTTTACGGCACTTGCAACACAATAAGGTCATATACGTGCCGAAGATTAGAGGTGTTACAAGAGAGTAACAAAAACAAAAAAGAAGGAGGAGAGATCAGGACGATAGATGTTTGATAGGAAGGAAGGAGCAAACCACACCAGAGCACCCGCAAACCACCAACAGAAAGACTGAGATACTTGATAAAAATTCTCCCATTTCGGGAAACAAACTACAATCTCCTCCATGCAACAGCGGAGCATCTAACCGCTGGATCACAGACACCAGTTGTAATGTCTTTGATGGTATAAAATATCTGAACATTCTTTAAAAAAATAGACCAATTTCTTCCAGTAAAAGAAAAACTTGCACAGTGGTTGTTGATGGCAGCTACCTTACTTGTGCAATGTTTACGAGAAAGACGAACTTTACATCACAGAGTGAGAAAGCATCAGCTATGAAAATTGTATTTGTGTCAAACAGCAATCAAAAGTCTTGTCTTCATCTTCCCAGAACTAAATACATTCTGTGCATGTGAGTGCTCTTTGCTTGCTTTGTTTATATCAGTGTATGTCAATCTATTTACACATTCATCATCATCATCATCATCATCATCATCATCATCATCATCATCATCATCATC